AGCTGGCCTACATGCACTACGAGCGCTGGCTGAAGGTGGCGAAGAAGAAGCACAACCTCAGCATGGCCGAGTTTATAGACCACGGAAGAGTACTTGTCCTTTCTATTCCCAAACCCCAAAGCCTAATACAAGGTTTCGAATGCCACTACGAAGAACTCGCAAGCTCGGAGCACTAGTGGAAGGGCTCCTCTCCTGGAAGCGTGTTGAGTGACATGCCAAGGCAGATCCATCCCTAAACCCTCACCCCAAAGAATCCCTGAACCCTAAACCCTAAACCCTAAACCCTAAACCCTAAACCCTAAACCCTAAACCCTAAACCCTAAACCCTAAACCCTAAACCCTAAACCCCGCATCGAGCCCGAAATGCCAGGTCCTCCAGACCCTGGACGTGAGCTACAACCAGATCCAAGACCGAGGCGCTAGCGTGGTTGTCGGGGGTTTAGGGTTTGGGGTTTAGGGTTTAGGATTTGGGGTTTAGGGTTTAGGGTTTAGGGGTTGGGGTTTAGGGATTTTTAGGGTTTAGGGTTTTGGGGGTGTAGGATGGTGTAGAGCTTGGGGTTTAGGGTTTGTGGTTTTTGGCTTAGGAGGTTCAGGGTTTTGTGGGGTTTCGAGGTTTCCTCTAGGCAAGGGAACGGCGCAGCCCCCAGCAACCACGTGCCGGTAGATGGCTGAAGATTTACCCTGGCTTCAAACTTTCAATGTTCAAAAACCGACTCTGATCGCTCCCTTGCTGCTGCCACTACAGATGTGGGATGGGCGCAGGAACCATGGCTACAGCACCGGTGGCCACAGAACTCGCAGCTCGAAAGACACATTCGCACGTTGGAAGAAGCTACTCGTGCCGCTCACCTCGGTGCAAGATTCCATGAAAGGTTTGTGGCCACATTCAGTTGCTTATGTGCACACGCGCTGAACATAGTGAAGCGGAAAGGCGACAACACCATTTAGCGAGTTGGCGACCGGTGAGCACTTTCACGGTCCCAACCTTGTACTGGGACGCTTACTTTGTGGTTCTTTACTGTGACTTTAGATCCTTAGCCTTTTTGGGTTTATTTGTTCTTCTTAAGAAGGCAGCTTTAAACAAATAATTTATAGCTACCCTGCTAAGTGCAGCCAAGCTTAGTGCATTCCCGTGTTCATGATGCTGCTGCCAAAGGGAGAAGTTTGATGCTAGTACGTCCGGGACTCTTTGCTGGGTGGAAGCAGTGGAAGCTAGATGCTGGGTCTGTCGACAAGGGCGTGGTGTATGTCTTAGGACCAAGCAGGGTTCAGGGTTTAGGGTTCAGGGCGAGGTTCTCGACTTTTAGACACATTGCCTGTTTCAGCACCTAGCCACCCCCCAATTTAAAAAAAGTGCTGGGAATGTTTTCTGCGTACCTGTCCGGTCACGTTTGTTTGTTGAGGGGGGGGTGGACCCTAAACCCTAAACCCTAAACCCTCAACCCTAAACCCTAAACCCTAACCCCTAGTCTTTTAAGGGCTCTAAGCCCGAGCGAGGCGATGGGACCCTTACGGTGTGCCCTCAAACCCTCCAGCCCGAATCCCCTCAAGGCCGACAGCACAAATCTCCTAAGCCCTAAGCCCTAAGCCCTAAGCCCTAAACCCCAAACCCTAAACCCTAAACCCTACAAACCTTGAGCCCCTAAAGCCCTAAAGCCCAAGGCTCCTAAACCCCCACAGGCCCAAGATCCAAAGCCCCTCAAGCCCCTTAAAGCCCTAAAGCCCAAAGCCCCGAAGCCACTTCAACGCCCTAAACCCTAAACCCTAAACCCTAAACCCTAAACCCTAAACCCTAAACCCTAAACCCTAAGCCCTAAACCCTAAACCCTCAACCCTCAACCCTAAACCCTAAACCCTAAACCCTAAGGGCTGCGTATTTATTTTTATCCTGATGGTTTTTTTCTTTATTCTCTCTGGGCCGGCCAAGGATTTAGCAGGGTTTTTCGGGGTTTATTGTGCGGGTTTCTTCACATCATTCGGAGGGTTCCATTCCTTATTCCACGTGTTGGCATTCTTATCCCCCGGGTTTGGCAATTTATTCTCACGGTGCTCCCGTTTATTTCGAGGGTGTTTTTTCTTATTCCCTTCCCCCCCCCCCCCCCCCCTACCCAACCCCCCCCCCCCCCCCCACCCCCCCCCCCCCCCCCCCCCCCCACCCCACCCCCCCCACCCCCCCACCCCCCCTCCACCCCCCCCCCCCCAACCCCCCATTATGCCAACTATGAACCCGCCACCGTTCGTCGAGCACCCACCACTTTTCCCAACCCTCACCCACCACCTGATGTCGACCCGCCTAACCATCCACCACTCCTTTCCACCCAACATTTACCCACCAGCTCGCCATTCCCACCTCTTTCCCACCATGCCCACCAGCTCGCATTCCCACCATTCCCAATATCCACCACCCCACCATTCCCCACCACTGCCCGCCATTCCCCACCAATCCCCTACCATTCCTATCATACCACCCGGTCCGAGACACACCCACCGTTGCGGGTACTCTCCATCCTGCTACCCACCATGCCATGTTCAGGTGTCATTATATACATGCCCAGCGTACCATTCTGGGACGTGTTCAGGCAACAAGTACAAAGCACTTGACCGACACCTCCCAAACAAGCTAGTTTTGATGCTAGAAAGGCCTATCGATAATGAAGCCCACCATGCAACACCGTTACCCATCGACTCCATTCCCACCATTACCTGCCATTCCCGCCATTCCACCCCGCCAGTATTCCCTGCCAGTCCCACCATTAGTCACCATCCTGCTTTTCCTCACCATTCCTCACCACTCCTGCCATGCCTCACCAGTATTCCTTGCAAGTCGCACCCTTACCCCTACTAACCCATTCTCGCATTCCCCCTATGACCTGCCATGTTCCCCATTGCCCACCATATTGCCGCCATCCCCACTATACCCACCATCACTACCCACCATCACACGCCAGCACTCACGATTCCCACCATGCCCACGATTACCTGAAACACGCCCCTGCACACCATGTCCACCCACCGTGCCTCATTCGCACCATAGCCCATCATTCCCACCATTTCCCGCCCATATTGCCGCCCTCACCCCCACCATTGCACACCATTCATCACCCGCAATTCCCCCGTTCCCCCCATTTCTCGATATCCCACAACTTATAACTGCCCAACCACTACGCATCACTACGCGCCCCCCCAAAAACCCGCCATTTTCACCATTTCCATCATTCCCCCCTTTCCGGAAAGTGCTAGACATTCTCTACCAGTCCGCACCAATTTCACCATTCCCCCCCTTACCCGCCAGTACCAGCCACTATGTACCCGCCATTTCCGCCATTCCCAGCATTCCCCCCTTCCCGCCACTACCAGCCATTCCCCACCAACTACCACCTCCACCGTTTCCATCTTGAACCACTTGCCCAGCATTCCCAACGCTACCTTGTTCTGCAGGGTGGATCGTGGAAACTGAACTCCTCAATCTGCCAAACCCTAAACTCCCCCCCCCCCCCGGATTGCCCAGGCTAAGAAAAAGAACCCGTAGAATAAACTTAAACACCATCGGATGAGGATGGAGGGCCCTGAGGCCCGAAAAAAGAACCGGCAGAATAAGAATAAAAACCATCACCGACGGAGACTAAGGAAAAACACCCCGAGAATAACAAAAAAAACCATGCCCAAACCCTAAACCCTGAAGCCCCTCAAGCCCGAAGCTCTTAAGCCCTTGAGTCAGGAACGCAGGCACTGGGAGAGGCGCAGAGGGTTCTGAGATCCTGGGTTGCTGTAGGCGTGTTTAGGGTTTAGGGTTTCAGGGTTTAGGGTTTACGGTTTAGGGTTTAGGGTTTCAGGGTTTCAGGGTTTAGGGTTTAGGGTTTACAGGGTCTTTGGTTGAGGGTTTGGGGGCTTGAGGGGATTCAGGGTAGAGTCAATCGGCGTAGCAGGTGCCCTTGCCTTGGCTTGATTGTTTGATTCTGAGGCACAAGGAGGGCCTCTATTCGCGGGGGCATGGCTGGATCGAGCGGCCATAGGTCGAACGGTTGCTGGCCACTGTTGTCAGGGGTGGGACATGGGGCCTAGACCCCTAGACCCTCAACCCTGAACCCTAGAGTGGGGGAGGCTAGAAAGTCAAGTTAAACTTTCTAAGTTCTAAGAGTTTGAACTACTGATTGCGGAGGCAGGGAGAGGGCTAGAAGGTTAGAATAGCTAAGAGTTTAAACTCTTGGTAGCCCTTCCCTGGGAAGGGGCGCCGGGGAAGGGGTGGGGGGAGTGGGGGCAGGGGGGCCTGGAGCCCAGGTATGGAAACAACCGCATCCGCAACGGAGATTAGGGTTTGGGTTTTGGGCTTAGGGTTTAGGTTTTAGGGTGACTGGTCCCCGAAAAACGGATGTTTGCCAGGCGCTGAGAAACAACCGCTCACTTCAAAACCTGTTGCTCCGGACCAACCAGATCACCGACGTAGGCAGGGAAATCTGGGATCTTCGGATTATGGGGATTTTTGTTTGTTTGTTTTTTTTTTTTTTTTTCGGGGGGGGGGGGGGGGTTGTTGGGGGGGGTGGCTTTGGGATTTGCAGGGATTTGGTGTGTGTTGGTGGTGAATTTGGTTTGGAGTTTCGGGTTTCTGCAGAAGTCGACGTGCAGAAGCCAAGTTTTACATATCAAGATTTACATATCAAGACGACGAAAGACCAACAAGCCGCAGCAGAGAGAAAGCCGAGTAAACCCATAGACCCTAAACTCTAAGCCCTAAACCCTAAACCCTAAAGCCTAACAAAAGCAAGACAAGCAAGACGAGCAAGACATGACGAGCACTCAGGCGCAGTGTTCTGAATGCCCCGTGCTTCGCGTTGGTGCTTTCTCGTGTGTTCTTGTGCGTTCCATAGTGAGCGTTTTGTGCATTAATGAAATGTGTGTGTGACAGCTTTCAGAATCCTTTGAAGAAGGTAAGGGACCATGCAATCTCTCTTAGGTAAGCACGTTCTCAACCCCCCAAACCCTAAACCCCAAACCCCAAACCCCAAACCCTAAACCCTAAACCCGAAACCCGAAATCCTAAACCCTAAACCCTAAACCCAAACCCCTAAACTCTAACCCCTAAAACCTAAACCCTAAACCCTAAATGCAGAGAGGAGTTGCTGTCCTGGCGGATGTTTTGAAGCACCACCGCGCGTTGGTGCAGCTGGCTTTGGGCAACAACCATATCTCTGCGCCGCTTGGTGGAGGGTAGGGTTTAGGGTTTAGGGTTTAGGGTTTAGGGTTTAGGGTTTAGGGTTCAGGGTTCAGGGTTTAGGGTTTGGGGTTTAGGGGTTTAGGGTTTAGGGTTTAGGGTTTGGGGTTTGGGGTTTGGGGGTTCAGGGTTTAGGGTTTAGGGTTTCGGGTTAGGGTGCAGGGTTTAGGGTTTAGGGCCAAGTTTTGGGTTAGATGGTTTTTTTTTGAGTTGAGGGTTCGAGTTTAGTCGTGTTCGAAGGTCAGGCCTTGGGGTTCAAGAATGGCCCAGGGCTTGCTGTACTTATAAGCCCCCTAAGTCCTCTAAGTAGGTTATAAGTGGACGTAGACTTGGGGTTAGAAGTACAAGTAGTTTAGGGTCAGGGCTTGGGGTTCGCGGTTAGGTCAGGGCTGCTCTTCTTTTCATGGGAGTCTACCTGGGACCCCCTTCATGTTGTGCCCTTGGGGTTTGGGGACCCTTTTTGTAAGATCCTGTAAGGAGACATGAGGACCATGTTAGAGTTTGGGACCTTCATGGGTACAACCTTGGGGATGCGAAGTCCTAATCCCTGGATCCTTATGACAGATAGGAACGACGACGACCCTTCGCGTAAGCAATTCTTGCACGTGCCCCCTTAGCCTGACCTCTTGAACACTGACCCTGAACCCGAAATCTGAAACCCCAAACCCCAAACCCTACCCTAAACCCTAAACCCTAAATCCTAAATCCTCAACCCTCAAACCCTCAACCCTCAGACCCTCAACCCTCAACCCTCAACCCTCACACCCTGCCAGGCATGGCGCCTCCCTTCTGTCCGTGGCTCTGAGGATTGGCGTTCGGTGTGTGGATTCGGGTTTAGGGTTTAGGGTTTAGGGTTTAGGGTTTAGGGTTTAGGGTTTAGGGTTTAGGGTTTAGGGTTTAGGGTTTAGGGTCTAGGGCCCTTGGATGTCTTGTTCTTTTTTTTGTTCTCAGGGCCCTATGGTTCTTGGGCCCCGGTTTTATCGGGCGTAGTGTGTCGCCCGATTTTTGGGGGTTTAGGGTTTAGGGTTTAGGGACAAAAGGGCTTCTAGGCTTTAGGGCTTAGGCTGTTTGTTTGGGCTTGGGGTTTAGGACTCCAGGGCTTGTAGGGGCCTTCTACACACCACGACTCTGCAAGGCCCAAGCAAGACCCTCAGCAGGGAGATGTGCTGAGTCTAGGGTTTAGGATTTAGGGTTTAGGGTTTAGGGTTTAGGGTCTGCCAGTGCTGGGCAAACATGCTCGGCGTATTAACTTTTAACAACATCAGGCTGTATGTCATTGGCTGGCTCTATCTGATGCAGGGGATATTCCTTCAGTTTGTTCAAGTGGCCTGTCTGCCAGCAAACATGGCTCCCTGAACCCTACACCCTAAACCCTAAACCCGAAACCCGAAACCCTAAACCCGTATGGCTCTTGCTATGGTGTTGCACGTCTGCGGAAGGGCAGGCGGTGCCAGGCGGTCTGGCAGCCTGGTTGGAACAGAACTTTGATTCTGGCGTTCACGGCGAATCCTACTGGTACGCTGGTGTGCATGTTCCGGAATTCAATAGGGTTTAGGGTTTCGGGTTTCGGGTTTCGCGTTTAGGGTTTAGGGTTTAGGGCAAACTGGGGTCTAAATGCAGGTGCAGGAGTGTTTGCAAATTTGCAGGCGGGCCGCAACTAGCACACCCTCCTTCGGGTACAGTGACGCTGTGAGCGATCTACCCTAAACCCTAAACCCTAAACCCTAAACCCTAAACCCTAAACCCTAAACCCTAAACCCTAAACCCTAAACCCTAAACCCTAAACCCTAAACCCTAAACCCTAAACCCTAAACCACATTCACCAGGGCCCACAGGAGAGCTTGCAGCCCTGAATTTCAAACCCGAAGTCCTTGAATGCTAGTTGAAGGTCCATGGGTCGTCATAACCCTGCAAGCCCTAAGCCCTAAACCCTCTAGTAGACCCTACGCATTATCAGCCTGCAACCCGAAACCCTACACCGCATGGGCCCTTGACCCTACGCCCCTAGTTCCTAAGCCCTCCAACCCCTAAATCCCGCTGCCATAATCTTTTTCAGCTCCCCTGAACCCTAAGCTCCCAAACCTAAACAACCTTTAAGCCCTCAACACTCAGACGCCTAAACCCGAAACCCGAAACCCGAAACCCTGAACCCTGAACCCTAAACCCTAAACCCTAAACCCTAAACCCTAAACCCTAAACCCTAAACCTCCCGACTCTTCCAGCCAATCAGCGCAGGAAAAACCGCGTCATCCAGATCCTGTCCTTGGAGCTGAACACCATCCATGATCAAGGCGGCGCTGGGGTTTAGGGTTTAGGGTTCAGGGTTCAGGGTTTCGGGTTTAGGGTTTAGATTCAAAGTTTAGATTGTTTTTATGGCACATAGAGGTGTAGGGTTTAGGGCTGAAGGTGTCGATGTCGAACCACTGACAAACCGCGTGGGGAGAGGGGGGGGGGGGGGGGCTGTTCGCGACCAGGATACTCAGGATGGGGGGATACTCAGGATAGGGGCCTATGGTATGGGAGCTGAATATATTTGACTCCGTCAAAGGATCAGGAGTCCATCTCGCCCTCCAACCCCCCAAACTCTAAATCAACAACTCGTTCACATCTTAAACCTTACCTAAATCCTAAACATTAAGCATTAATCATTAAGCATTAAGCATTCAAAGTTAAACATTAAACATTCAACATGAAACATTAAACATGAAGCATGAAGCATGAAGCATGAAACATCAAGCATTAAGCATTAAACATCAAACATTAAACCCTAGACCCTAAACCCTCAACCCTAAACCGGCCCCAGTTCATACCAAGACAATCTTAAGTCCATACTCTATGGGTCGGAATAGTTGTTAATTGTGTTTCCTTATGTTCCCTTTTTAATTATACTAGATAATTATGCAAGAAAAGCTCCCGCAACCCTATTCTGATTACTAAAGCAAGCTTACTAGGACCCGGAGAAGGCCCTTATTTCCTTTTTTTAGGGTTGGGGTGCCCTTGTAATCACCTTAAAAGCAAAAAGGGTACCCTGTTTATTCCTAGGCTACTCCTGGGTCGAGTAGCCCTAAACCCTAAACCCTAAACCCTAAACCCTAAACCCTAAACCCTAAACCCTAAACCCTAAACCCTAAACCCTAAACCCTAAACCCTAAACCCTAAACCCTAAAAACCCTAACCCTAAACCCTAAACCTAACCCTAAACCCTAAACCCTAACCCTAAACCCTAAAAAACGCCCGCACCACAGCGCCTCCGACCTGGCATCATCGCTGACGCAGAATCGATCACTGACGCTTGGCCAGTCTGCGCTTCAGAGGTGGGTTCAGTAGGGTTTATGGGGTTTAGGTTTTAGGGTTTAGGGTTTAGGGTTTAGGGTTTAGGGTTTAGGGTTTAGGGTTTAGGGTTTAGGGTTTAGGGTTTAGGGTTTAGGGTTTAGGGTTTAGGGTTTAGGGTTCAGGGTTCAGGGTTCAGGGTTCAGGGTTCAGGGTTAGGGGGTTTCCTTGCTAGCCCAGTCGTACCCTTTTGCCCTTTCTTTGGTTCAAGATTCCGTTATACAGTAACCAACCCCCCCAAAAAGGTACCCTTATTATAATGTGGTTACTGGGCTACCAAGCTTTGAGAGGTGTTGTAGGGCGTTTAGGGTTGAGGTTCATTGCCTTGGTAGCCCAGTGGTGCCCTTTTCCCTTTTTCTGGTTCCCTTGTACAGTAACAAACCCAAAAAAGGGTACCCCTTTCACAATATGGCGACTGGGCTACTAAGTTGCACACACTAGACCGAAAATGACTAGGCCAAAAAACACACACTCGCGTTGGACTCATCAGTGAACTGGAGTTGTGCGCAGCTGCTTTTGCGCGCGCAACATGACGCCCCAGGCATGGTAGTCGAAGGAGTTTAGGTGTCAAGTGGAATGTGTACTCTACCAGACTGATGGCATCGTTCTTCTCAAGCAAGGCTTAAGTTGCAAATGGCCACAGCCTGCTTTAGGGTTTAGGGTTTGGGGTTCAGAGTTTTGGTTTAGGGTTTAGGGTTTGTGCTGCCACACTGGAGTGGGGCGGCAGTACCACTCGAATGGACATGTTCAGAACTTCCTACAGTCCTACAGAGCAAACATGCTCCTTCAGTTCTTCTTGCGACACCCTTGGCAAGGCCTTGTGGAAGTGTCACATTTTTTGGAGCACTAGTTCAACATTCCTGGGAAGAGGAAGTTGCTCTTGGGACCAATGGGAATTAAAGTACCCTAGAGTCTAAACCCTAAACCCTAAACCCTAAACCCTAAACCCTAAACCCCAAACCCTAAACCCTAAACCCTAAACCCTAAACCCTAAACCCTAAACCCTAAACCCTAAACCGCAATGGTGATCAACGACGGTCTCGCGGCTCCGGCCTATCTCGCCATTTCTGCAGCAATCGCTTCAGCCGCTTTACTTGACCTGCAGCATGCCTGTGGACAGCCTGACCCAAAGCGGTTTAGGGTTTAGGGTTTAGGGTTTAGGGTTTAGGGTTTAGGGTGTAGGGTTTAGGGTTTAGGGTGTAGGGTTTAGGGTTTAGGGTTTAGGGTTTAGGGTTTAGGGTTTAGGGTTCGGGGCAACTTGCCATGGCCTCTGAAAGGAACCTGGCGCTTTTAGGACTGGCCGATATCGCAACTTGCCGGTGAGAGAGGCGCGCAGTGAGTCGGTACCATGCCACCGGTGGACGGTCCATGCAAAAAAATGAAGCCTCCTCTCGTCACACGTCAGGGTATGGTGCATGCGTTCTGCTGAAGGCATGGCATGGCATGTTTGCCCATGGCATTCGCACAAGAACCCTGAGCCCTGCATCATGCTAAAGCCCGTTATGGAGCCAGCGTTCTCTGTCGATTTCGTTGTGAAGACGTTGCTCCCAGCTTGTGGTCCGCAGTAGACTCACACTGTCAAGTGTTTCTTCTGCCGGGCTTCTTTCAGTTTCTCTTCACAAGGCGCTCCTCCATCAAGGACATTCTATACGTGTCTGAAGTTTTGCTTGACTGCTAGTACCCCCCCCCCCAAGATCGTGAAAACTCTATTGCAGGCGTTTGGGACACCCCTTGCCCTTGTGCGACTCGTGCCTGCCCCAAGGACGCACCTTTGCATCAGCTCGAACGAAGTCGGAGAAGAAGGCTTGTGTAGAGTTCAGGATGTAAGTTTCTTTGTGAAGCTCAAATAACCATAGCCTAACGAAGCATATGCACCAGCAGCCCCAAATGCTGAGAGTAGGTTGACCCCTTAACAGCTATTCGCTGTAGCTTCGACTTCAAGACACTACTGCCATGTTGTTGCTGCTCATCACCCCAACCTGGAACTACATTGGAGGATTTGGTAACTTGTAACTCCTAACACACTACATCCCAAAGCCCAAACTGATTCCAAGGCTTCGTGTCCATTAGTAACCCTAAACCCTAAACACTAAACCGTAGGGGTAGCAGGTTTAGGCCTTTACAAGGTTCAGGGTTTTAGGGTTAGCGTAGGGTTTATGGGTTGTACAGGGCTTGGGGGTGTTAGGGTGCAGGGTTTAGGCTTAGGGGCTTATGCGGTTTTATGGTGCAGTCTAGGATGCAGTAGTGCTTCAAGGGTTAACCGTTCAGGCGCAGGGTTTTGAAATAAGAAGGCCTTACCCCTACACAACATATCAGCCCCCTAGACCCTATAGGCCCTATGCCTTCCGGAAAAACTTTCCAAGCCTCCGAAACCCTACGAAAACGAGGCTCTTTTGAAGCCCAATAAACCCTAAACCCTCAGCCCTTAAGCCGCATTTAGATATGAACGCTGAAGGCCCTTGGCAGGGTTTTGGCTTTAGGGCTTAATATCTAGGGGTACCCTGAACCCTCAACCCTCAACCCTAAACCCTAAACACCAACCCGAAACCCTAAACGCGAAACCCGAAACCCTAAACCCTAAACCCTAAACCCTAAACCCTAAACCCTAGACCCCAGAAGTCCCGGACCCCAGAGGCGGCGTGGCCTTCGCGGATGCACTGCGGCAGAACCGCACACTGCAGCAGCTTCTCATGAGCCCCTGTGGCCGCCAGAGAGGACAGGAAGGAAGGCTGACCCTAAACCCTAAACCCTAAACCCTAAACCCAAACCCTAAACGGTAAACCCTAAACCCTAAACCCCAATCCCTAAACCCTAAACCCTGTTATTTGAGGATGTTCCGCTCCGCTCCTCTCCCCCCCCCCCCCCCCCCCCGCCCATCGCAACATACGGCTGAAACGACAAGGCCTCCAACGTAGGAGTGGCCTACTAGATTTCCACACGATAAGAAGATAGCAAACACCAAAACGGAATTGCATACCCTGAGCGATACAGCTGAATTAGATCCTAAGCCCTAAGCCCTAAGCCCTAAAGCCTAAACCCTAAACCCTTATCCCTAAACCCGAAACCCAGAAAACCCCAAAGGCCCTCATTTAAGACCTCCGTACGCCCCATGCGCCCCTTGGCTCAGCCGAGGCTCGAATGCGCTGGGCGCCCACGGCGCGACAGCCCTGGCCAGCGCGTTGCGGGACCGCGGTTTAGGGTTTAGGGTTTAGGGTTTAGGGTCTAGGGTTTCGTCAATTGCTCTGGGGGCGAGGGGGGGGGGGCGGGGTTTTAGGGGTTTAGGGTATTTAGGGTTTCGGATTTAGGGTATTGTGTTTTACATGGGGCACAGAAGAAACCGTGCAAGAAACCGTGCAAGGTACAAGCCTCGAACTCTCGAAGCGAGACAAGCCAACAAGCCCTTGGCAGGTGGCTTTTACGCCACCCTTTGGACCATTGCTGGTGCTTTGGATTGCTATGGCAGTGTTTTGGGCCTCCCTCGGTCTTTGGCTTCTGGCCCTTGTGCACTTTGCACGTGCACAAAGTATGGCGACAAATCCTGGATGAACTTTGGCCCAGCAGCCGGTTGGCAAGGCTCCTGCTGGACCCCAACAACCTGGAAGGGCTGTGGTGCTCGCTCGCAGTGTGTCCTGTTCGACACACCCAACTTGTCTGCTGTCAATGTGGCCATGCACTGGCTCCATAAAAAGTACCTGGGAGCAGACCAATACAGTTATGCATCTGTCTTTGTACTAGCTGACTGACCACATGCTACCTTCGGACCCAGCCACGAACATGCGCCAGATTTTTAGGGTGTTTAGGGTATTTAGGGTATTTAGGGTCTGGGGTTTAGGGTATTTAGGGCTTCAGAGTTTTAGGGTTTCGGATTTTGGATTCATGTGTTCGGGGAGGCTTGGTTGTTTTTTCGGGTTTCGGGTTTAGCCAGAGGGGTGTTAGGGGTGCTTGGTTTGTTTGAGGGGGT